ACCTCCACTGTCTCTATGTCCATTGGAGCAGAGGTAGCGTCCACCATGGTCTACTCCAGGACATCTCAGACAACTGCAGCATCATCCCAGACACCAGGAGCAGAGAGTGTGGGCATCACAGGAGACTCTGAAATAAGCACCATAGCCACAGCTGGAACATCAACTTTACAGTCCCCAAGTGCACATAGTTCTACCGTGAGTACCTTTGAGGGGACAACCCCTGTTGTTAACATAGACTCATCACCCCCAGTCAGTGTCAGCAAGCCTCTAATGACACCTTCCAAGACTGCATTTTCACAAACACCAACAGCCACTTCTCTGACCAGCACAGCAGGAGCAGAACCTCCTGTAACTACCATTCTTATTGGAGACATCTCCACTGTCTCAGTGTCCACTGGAGCAGGGGTACCGCCCACCACAGCCTCCTCCAGCACATCTTCTCAGACAATTACAGAATCTTCTCAGAAGCCAGGAGCAGAGAGCATGGGCACCACTGGACACTCGCAAACCAGCACAGTCACCACAGCTGGAACATCAACTTCACCTACTCCAAGTGCACACAGTCCTACTGTTAGGGTCTCTGGGGGGACGACACTTGCAGGTGACACAGCCTCTTCATTCCCAACCAGCGTGAGCAAGCCTCTCCGGACACCCTCCGAGATGGCACCTTCACCAACAACAGCCACCACCTCTCTGGCCAGCACAGTGGAAACAGACCCTGCTGTAACCACTGTTTTTACCATAGGCTACTCCACTGTCTCGGTGTCCACTGGCCCAGGGGCACCATCTACTACATCCTCCTCCAGCACATCTTCTCAGACAACTGCAGCATCTTCTCAGATGCCAGGGACAGAGAGCATGGGCACCACTGGACACTCACAAACCAGTACCATTGCCACAGCTGGAACATCAGCTTTCCCATCCATAAGTGCACACAGTCCTGCCGTCAGCAGATCTGCAGGGACAACCCCTGCAGGTGACACAGCCTCTTCATCCACACCCAGTGTCAGCAAGCCTCCCCTGACACCCTCCAAGACTGCACCATTAGCAATACCAAAAGCCACCACCTCTCTGGCCAGCACAGCGGGAACACAGCCTCCTGTAACTACTGTTCTTACCGGAAGCTCCTCCTCAGTCACTGTGTCCACTGGAGCAGGGGTAGCGTCCACCACAGCCTCCTCCAGCACATCTGTGGCAACTGCAGCATCTTCTCAAATGCCAACGACAGAGAGCGTGGGCACCACTGGAC